TTATAACATTAAAGTGGAATTACTTGTATTATAGGGATAGGAATACAATAATTAAGTAATTTGTAAATGGGATATAAATTCATAGGCAAGTAGTGCTGCAAATATTTATGAATGTCTACCATGCTCAAAGCTCTGGTTTTTTTAAACGATAAAATAGGAGTTGATGAAATACTGCTTTGCAAATATATGCTCTTGACAGTCAATAAACTGTAGGAATCCTGCTTCATTAAATTGATTCCTTACTCCAAAAATATCTAAATTTACAGCTACTCCTCCCAAATCCCATGAGGCAGACAGCAGCAGCCAGCCGCCTGAACGCTTTTCAGTCTCGCAGGATCTCATTAGATGCTGAGTATATCAGCCAGGCTCCTGTTCCTGCTGCCCACATTCCTGCTTCTAAATAACCAGTTTAATCCCAGTCTTGCTGACTCCTTGTCCAGGGCCAAAGTAGGCAGTATTGGTGTGTTCCTCTCCAAGCTCAGCTTCTGGACATGTCTTGTACTAGTCTTTGATGTGTATGTGGTCTGAAGCCAGCTCAAGTCTCACTCCTGTGTGGTTTCCTTTGGTGCTGTACTGCAGCTCCAGGAAATACGTGGAAAAAGCAAGTTTTGAAAGTCCTGCATAGCCATTGGAAAAGGATTAAAAATCCTCCAGGATAAAGCAGCAGGCAGGGCATGCATCAGCAAAGGAAAGAGTTACACATCTTGCTCCAGTCGTTAGGAGCACTTCTGCATAGATTCTGAACTGAACAGCTCGGCATCTTTCACCATATCTAGAATTGCTCCTTGCTTTGATTTTTCATGCTGTTACTGTGCAGCTTTTGTTTAATGGGATTATTGCCCTGGGACAGCGTAATTGAAGTTCTTTTCTTCTGTAGTGTGAGCATGTGTACTTTGTCTGCCTCATCTGCATTAATCATGTTTGCTGGGAATATGCAGCCATTAAATGGGTCACTTGGAGCGGTCCTTCCCAGTCCTCTCTCACATTTACTGTTTTGGTGCATTGGCCTCATGGGTAGGACAGAGCACTTACTACTCTGTTCCAGTGTTCCTGAGAACAGAGAGACATCATTCTGTACTATCATTTCTTATCTTGACAAATTGGTTTATTCCTGCTGGAAATAGAAATTTCTGCTTGGAGCCCTGCAAACTGCAGCTTGACACTACTTCTCTTTCTGTTCCCTCCTCCTTTCCATGGGAGCCTGGTTTGCTTTAGAAGTTACTCAGGTGGACAGGTGGCTACTAATGGCCTCTCTGTAATTTTAGGGCAAAATTTTAGATTTGCGGGCTGCATATACCTTTCTTAGCTTCATAATTATGGCATACTTTTAGAACACTTTTCAGGGCTCTAGACCTTTCATTTAATCTGTGCTTTGCATTCAGAATAATCCCTGTCAGGCACAGGCGGCATTTTGCAGGTGGCATAAATGAAATGTAAATTTGTGAAAAACAAACAATGAGGCATATTCTAATTTAAAGTATGTCTAGTAAAGCCCCAAAGACATTTTGCGTAGGAAGTATGTGATTTTGGAAGGGTTTTGCAAAGGGAAAGGATGAGGCAGCTGGGAAAATCAGACTACCTACTTGTTCTTGCTCCTCCTTTGACCTATCATTCCTTATCCTCCACTTAATCAACAACAGGTGACACCTAGTGCAGGTTTTCTCTGTTCTCTGCGGAGTTGATCTGAGAGGTAGGAGCTCCCCTGTGCAGTACAGTCATTTCATTAAGACAGCATCTAGCCCAGAGCCTTCAGCAGGGCAAGACCATTAAGAGCATCAGCCTGAGCATCTAGCAAGGATTTCCTGGATTACAGTTCAAGCTGATTTGGCTGAAGATGGCAGATGAACCTAGAGGTTAAGATTTTTCTCTATTCCTGTTGGATCTTACTAAAGGCCATGCAACCACTGTAATGGGCCTAACAGGTAGGATTGCTTATCCTGAAGAATGAAGAGAGACATGTACACAGAATGTGTAGTCACCCACCCCTCTTTGCTGGCCTACATATTTGATGGGTAAAGTAATGTACAGAATAAAGATGGTCTCAGGTCCCTAAGTTAATGAACTACATGGAACTTCAAAGGCAAAGCAGAGATCGCAGAAAAACTGGGGAATCTCAGGCAGGATTTTAATGGCCAGGGACCTACTTCCAGTCATGGTATCATCAAATAGAATTCCATTTATTAAGGATGGTCAGGCCCTACAAGCCAAAAAATTTCGATTCTTTGCTGAGCATATGAGGCAAAAAGGATCAAAAAGAGGCAGAAATATTATGGGTAAGAAATTTCTGACTCTGCTGACTTCATCAATGCACTCATTAGCACCTTTTCAATTATTAATTGCTCTGCAGCTGCAGTTATTACTGGTCCATATTAATCCTCCAAGGAACACGAGATGACAACACCAAGTCATGACGACCTTGTCTTTCCATATGCTACAACTGATCAGGAATTTTCCAATGAAACAGCTGTTCACTGTAAAGTGTGAATTTTTAAAAATATTTGCCTTTGTTGGAAATAAATATGTTTCATTGATTTCTGTTGGGAAAGTCTTTTTGAATCTGACATGGCCTTCCTACAGCTGATATTCATGAAGAGGATTTTTCTTGAGGATGTTAGACAAATAGATCTTTTTTCTCCCTGCTAATTCATACAAAGTAAATGAGAGGAGACTGAGGAACACCTAGACACAGACTGCATTCTAGGCTGACCCACTTTCAAGAACAATTTTGCCTACACAGGCCTCACACAATATAGCAGATAAAAACAATAACTCCAAACCTTAACAAAACAATATGGAAGAATATGGAAGAGGTATCAGGCTTTGTTACTTTTCTCATGAGTGTTTGTGACATTTTGCAAGAGTCACAGCTGTACGAGAAGGAAACTTCAGAGATTAACTTTCAGACACGTCCTAGTTACAGGGGCTGGGACTAGTTTATCACTATGTGGATATAACCGAAATTGTGTATTCTACACCCTCTGTGTCATTTTTGAGGGACTGTTAATAAATTAATCATTTGCAGCAGCTGCTCAGGGCACACCTGACACCTCAGGCTACAAGCTGGGTGTTAAAGAAACCCTTTGAGGCAGGGGAGTGTTTCTTTGTCTTCACACCAATGACAGCTGTGACAACTTCCCTCGAGGGAGACATTAGCACCTTCACACTCTGTCTGAGGGGTCATCTCTGCTAATGGGCCACAATGGACTGGCATAATAGGCAGCTGCAATGACCTAGACCATCAAAGATTCCAAAAATATCCCATGACTCACAGAGTTAAATCACCCATTGTGAAACTCCCCGCCCTGGGGGAGGTACTGGGCATTCCCACCTGAATTTAAGCATATATAATCCTGCAGGTTTGGGACTTCTGGTACCATTTGGTGGTTCCAGAGTAGGACTAGAACTTCAGCAGGACTGTAACTGCCACTCTTGACAAGACTAAGATTGTTACTTCGACAGAACTGTGACCATCATCTGGACCAACAGGTTTCCTTTTACTTTGCACCCAGGGGGACCATGTGGTGCTCAGCACAGGGGCCAATGAACACTGTTCTATTCTTGTCCCAGGGTTCTGGGTTATACATCTGTTTTTGTGGGTTAAAACCAGTTTTCTCTATATCATTATATTTATTGTAATCTTTTTAGTAAATTGTAACTGACTTGTAATCTCTCTTGAATTGGGTTCATTTCTCCTGCCAGTTTACTTTTAAACCAGCACAAGACGCTATCAGTTCAACCAAGTATTAAATTAAGTCTGTTGTATTCTGAAAGCAACAGATTCTTCTTTTCAAGATACTTTAAAGTGTATCTCTGTCATTTGGTTCAATATCTTCTTCCCAAAGTCCCAACAACCTCCAATAAACCTTGAAACAATAGTTCTGTGTGCATTGAAATGCTTTTTAGTATTTTTGTATAATTATAGGGGTTTTGCTTTTCTTTTTCTTTTTCCATACTCCTGCATAATTCAGTGCTCTTTCTACATATTCAACTGGGTAGTGGTTCTGTGCAACAAAGAATTATAAGTCTGTGATTAATGGTTATTGAAATGAACACATCCAGTTGAGGAAATCTGCTAGAAACCAACAGATCCAAAAAGATATTTACTCAGACTTTGTTATCATCAAAATTTTTATTCATCTTTGCATGGGAGATGAACAGTGATCTTTAGTAGGTTCCTGAGAAACCAAAGAGGTGTTCTTTATAATGTGAGAAACAAAGATCAGGAACAGCAACTAAATGACCAGTATGTGACTTACAAGGCCAAAGTGGAAAGAGGCAAGAAAATGCTAGGAAAGGGAAATGAAAGAGGAAAAAAGTAGAAGAAAAGTCAGAACAGAAAATGAGTGAAAATAAAAAGAGAAAGCTGGAATCTGGTTTTATAGATTGAAATATGTCAGACATAATAATTTTTATTAATTATTATTACTTTTATTATTATTACCATTACAATGATTGTATTCTTTCCTTTTCCTTAGCAATAATAGTACTAAGAAAAATGTGAGGAGTTAGGGCAAAAATCCTGTAAAAACTTGCAAAAGGCTCTTAAGGAGGGACAGAAATCTGTTTAAGAGTTATCCATTCTGGTTGGTGGGTAAAATGTCTCCCACAATTCTATATTCTATTCAAAAATTAGTGGAAAGTTAATATTTGTGCAGTGAATTGGAGGCAGGTGTTGAAGTAGAATTAGAGGTGATCAAATAAATGTGAGACTTTTTCAAAAAAGAATTACCTGCTTTTTATACCTTCCCCAAAATTAGGAGTTTCCACAGATTCCAAATTAAGAGGAGAAAGGGGGTACTTCCTTTCCTCTTTCGAACTAAACCTCTCCATGAAAATATAAACCCTCTAAAAGAACCCTGTGGTTTATATTTTTGGTGGCCGGTCAACCTAATTAACAACTAGTCAAAACATTGTCATAAGCTAAAGCACACATCCTGTCTCTAGTAGCTTAAAATCAGCTGCTTAGTGATTACAAGTGGCTGGTTACCGATCAGAGGCCCTAAAAAACTCCTCTGTAATCTGCTGATGTGCAAAGGTAAACTAGGTCCAGTGATGCCGGGATAGAGATGGATGGTATATGAAGTTCTTTGAGGCACTGGCTTTGCTGCAGCAGAGACTTTCAGAGTAGGAAGCCACTGAAGATGATTATTTTTCCTGATGCAGGAGGGATACCCAAGGCTGAAATGTTCTATTTGCACTCCCAAATCAGCAGCAGAGATGTTCAAGAGAGGATGCTCACGTGTCAAAACTCTCTCTCTGCTCCCCAGAGTAGCATGGCTGTATGGGAAAGGGTGTTCAGGGCCTGAAAAATCTCTCAGTCTAAAGCCACAGAGATGTTTGAGGGTCAGTCTGGACTGGATTGCCTACCAGGCACATCAGAAAGACAGTGAAAGGATTCGGCTCAAGGCAAAAACATAACTTGCATTTTTGGGTTTTCTGGAGGAGGAGAAGGTGAGTTGTCCTCACTTTTAATTTAGATATTAATCAGAATGTGAGTTTAATTGAATTTTATTTAAGGAGGGTCTAGAAAGCCAAGCTCCTAAATCCCTTAAATAAATCAAATTTGAATTAAATAGCCAGTGACAGGAGCAAGCACAGCAGGAAGGAAACATGATACCTACTTTTGCTCAGAGACTCATCCTTTTTCATGGGAAGGATAAGGGAGTCAGAATCCCTCTAAGAATGCTATTGAACTCATGGCAGCTTAGGAGAACTTAAAATAAAAAAAAAAAAAAAAAAAAAAAAAAAGAGGATTTGCAACCAAACTGTGTAAGAACAAAATATGGAGCAGCTGAAATAAAATGGACGCTTAGCTCTTAAAGTCAGAATATCATCATGTGGAGCAGGTCCTTCCTTTTAACTCTCACAGGACACTGCTTTTGCTATTCACCCATGTTTTTTTCTATTCTCTTTTATTCCTAATCAGTGGAATTTGATAAAACTGGATTGCATGATAGGCCACAACTATGTTTTCTGAACACTAAGTACAGGGAAATTCCCTGGACTTCCAGGTTTTGTTTGTGTTCCTTTCTCTATAGCTTTATATCCACATGGGAAAGCACTTCCAGTGCTGGAAATCACATTGCAAGTGGTCTGTACAAATGATCCTTCCTTAAAAGAGAAAACTTAGCAAGGTGAGTCAGTTTAATAATAATTTTCTGGAGAAGCTATGAACAACCCTAAGCAATAAAGATTTTTGCCTTTAATACTTTTCATCCTCTTATTTTCTAATGAAAAAAGAAAGATAGTGTGAGAAGGAAGGAAGGAAAGAAAAGCATGTTTTTCCGCGATTTATGTGTGTTTCAGTTCATGATGAATGATCAGAGGTAGTGTGCAGGTAGAATGGATTTTTAGCAGCCAAGCAACTTGCCTGGGTAAGATTTTTCTCCTTAATGCCATTTAGCACTACTATTTTTGGGTGAGATGTTAAAGAGAGAAAAAATGGGCCATGTGAAAATATGCCATGCCATGCCTAGATGCAATTTCCATGTGAATAATTTTAAATCTTCACTTGCAAGATGTCAAATGTTAGGGAACAAATGCAGACAACCTTAGCTTCTTCTCTGAAGGAAATCGTAAGAACAAGTTCACGTTTTTTGTCTGCCTGCGTACCAGTCCCCCTCTTGCCTGTCACATTTCTCCCACTCTATGTTGTATGGATTTTAGCTAAGCCAAGGGAGAAGTGAAAAACAGAAGTAACAGTTCCTACCAGCTCTGTAAACCAGCCACATGAAGACATAAGCAAGACCACAGGAAGAACCTCCTGTCTCTTATCAGGTAACAAAACACTCCAGGTAGAAGAGAGAGCTTATCAATGGCCTAGTTTTGAGATGGCCTTCAGTGAATGTTGCACTTAAATAAGTCTTCAAGTCCTTGATCTCAGTGCTCAGCAGCACTTGTTGATATATTCTCCTACAATCACCTTATCACAAAAGAAAAGATAATGCACAATGCTGATACTGTAACTCTATACTATTGATAGCAGTGACAGTATTATATAAGCATTTTATTCAGAGTTCCTGCTCTGTGTTGTACTCTCTTTTTTTGTACCCTTTCTCTTCTCTCTGCTCAATGGCATGCACGCAGACACTCCACAAAAGTTTTGGCAGAGTTTAGTTTTGGAATCCTGGTATTGAGAGTAACAGCTAGAGTTTTTGCAGGGAGAAACACTGGGCACATATTTCAGCAATGGGCTGGGACTCGGCAGGCTGATATTTAATTCCTCATGCTCTGCATCTTCTGTGCTTTTGTTCCTTTCTCTCTAGAATGGGAATAATGAAGTTTCCTTTTTCACACCTTTTTTCATGTAGATTGTAATGGCTAAGGTTCCTCAGGCCTAGCAAAGGTCTGATCCTGTGTGAACACTCGGAAAACCCCTCCTTGGCAGGGAGAAGTAGAGAGGAATATTGCTTCTTGCTCAGCCAAGAACTGCAGAGCATATGTTTTGCTATCCTTATCCAGACAAGGCTCAGACTCAGTGAAAGCATCATCAAAATGAGTGCAATCAGGTAAGAACTCATATCTTCTCACCATGCTTCTTCTTGTGATAGTATACTATCACACATTGCATGTTATTCCTATAAATTATTAATTATTTTAAGCACAAAAACTGTATCTTAACTTTTTGCTTAATTTCATTCTTTCAACAATCAAGGTCAGATGATGCATTAAAATCTCATAATTCCAACTTTGAGCAGGCAGTCCTTGCAGCAGCTGTAGAGATCATTCTGTGCCTGTGTTTGCAATACCTTGATCTGTTTATTTATAACTTGCCAGATCTTTGGCTGGAAGCATTCCAAGCATAAGGAAAAAAAAACACCACAACAAACTTATATGAAATGCTATATTTTAATTAAATGGTTTTATATTATCCTAGAATTTCTTTGCTAGCTTTCTTTCCTGATTAAAAAAAAATATTCCATTAGTAACAAAGTACTTATCTCTCATAGCTGAAATTATTCTTGAATGGAAGTTCCTACTAAAAAGGATTTAATTTTTTTATTTTGATGGGAAGAAAAGATACCAGTTTTGCATTTAGCTCTTCTCCTTACCATTTCCATTTCCATTTTCAGGAGAATTTGGAGCTCAGAAAAGGTGCCAGACTGACAACACTGGAAACTCAGTCTCCATTTATCTGCAGGCTGCTGGGTTTTCATAGAGTCATAGAATGGCTTGGGTTGGAAGGGACCTTAAAGACCGACTACTTCCAACTCCCCTTGCCACAGGATGCCATACACAACATACAAGTCACTCAGTCTCATTCAGCCTGGCCTTGAAAATTTCCAGGGATGGAGCATCCACAGCTTCTCTGGACAACCTGTTCCAGTGTTTCATCACCTTCACAAAAAGAATTTCTTCCTAATACAAAATCTAAACCTCACCTCTTTAATTTTGAAGCCATTTCCCTTGTCCTGTCACAATATGATCTTGCAAAAATTCCCTCTCCAGCTCTCTTGTAAGACCCCTGAGGTACTGGAAGGTGCTATAAGTTCTCTCTGGAGTCTTCTCTTCTCCAGGCTGAACAATTCCAACTCTCTCAGTCTGTCCTCATTTAAGAGATGCTCCAGCCCTCTGATCATTTTTGTGTCCCTCCTCTGGACTTGTTCCAACACGTCCATGACATTCCTTTGCTGGGAGCCCCAGAGCTGGGTGCAGTATTCCAGGTGGGATCTCACCAGAGCAGAGGGGCAGAATCCCCTCCCTCAACCTGCTGGCCACACTCCTTTTGATGCAGCCCAGGACATAGCTGGTGGTTTTGCACCACTACTATGTGTCAACTTGATAGGAAAGTTCACGGGTTAGAGGGCACCTCTTGCTTTCAGACATTATTTTCTTGGTCTGTCAACCCTGATGTGCTGGTTTTGGCTGGGGAAGAGTTCATTTTCTTCACATTGGCTAGTATGGGGCTGTGTTTTGGATTTATGCTGAACACAGGGTTGATAATATTATTGCTGAGCAGTGCTTACATAGAGCCAAGGCCTTTTCTTCTCTTCATATTGCCACACTGGCAAGAAAGTTGGGGGTCCATGGCAGACTGGGACATGTGACATAACCCAGACATGTGACACAAACTGACCGAAGGGATGTTCTGTACCATCATGTGCAGTCTATAAAAGTGGCAGAAAGAAGGAGAAGGGGGGGGGATGTTTGGAGTGATGGCATTTGTTCTTCTCAAGTAACTGTTATATGTGGTGAGGCCCTACTTTCCTGGAGATGGCTGAACACCTGCCTGCCCATGGGAAGCAGTGAATTAATTGTGTTTGCTTTGCTTTTACTTTCTCTATTAAACTGTCTTTATCTCAACACACGAGTTTTCCAGCTTTTCTGGAAAAGCTTCCTGATTTTCTTCCCAATCCCACTGGTGGGGGAGTGAGCAAGCGGCTGTGTGGTGCTTGGCTGCTGGCTGTGTTTAAACAACAACTGACAACAACAGCAAGTTACTGGGCTTGAAACTATTCCTGCAGGCAGTGAGGAAGAGGAGTATCTTCTGGCAGGGAGTTGCTGTGTAATCTGACACTGTCGGAAAGTCTCTGACCAGCAGTTTCAAAGGGGCGTACTGGAGAGGAGGAGAAGAAACTAATGATCCATCCTGAAGCTCCACCCTGAGACTGAATGTAACTACCTGAGATATGACAATGTGTTTCCATAGTGAAAAGCATTCAGAGCCATTTATTTGCACCCCGGGGGAGGGTTCGTGAAGAACTGCAGCCCGTGAGAAGGACTGACATTGGGGAAGTTTGTGGAGGACTGTCTCCCGTGGGAGGGACTCCACGCTGGAGCAGGAGAAGTGTGAGGAGCCCTCCCCCTGATGAGGAAGGAGTGGCAGAGGCATCTTGTGATGAACAGATTACAACCCCCATTCCCTGTCCCCCTGCACTGCTGGAGGGGAGGAGGAATCAGGAGTTAAGCCTGGGAAGAAGTGTGGGGTGGGGAGAAGGTGTTTTTTGATTTGGTTTCTCATTGCCCTACTGTGATCTGATTGGCATTAAATTCAGTTAATTTCCCCATGTGGAGTCTGTTTTGCCTGTCCTTATCTCAAGCCAGGAGTCTTCCTTACGTTTTCTGTCCCCTGTGCAGCTGAGGAGAGGAAGGATAGAGCAGCTTTGAAGAGAACATGGCATCCAGCCAGGGTCAATCCACCAAACACTGTTACAATATTTCTGCAAAGAAAGAGCCACTTCAGTTTTAGAAATAGTCCAATAGTCCATTATTTTAATTGTTTCTTTTTATTGTAGCATACTGTATATGGAATCTGTGTTGTCATTTGCTGTAATCCTTGCTGTGTTAAAGTTAGATCTTGCTCAGTTACACATCTGTAGTTTATGACATGAAAGACAATGACACAACTGGCAGGATGTCACCAGTGTAACCCATGTAATGTGTCTCAGACGCTTGTTCCAATGGCAAATTTCTGATACGAATCTATGGCAGTGAGTGCAAACAAATTCAAGACAGACAAAATGATAAACACCATGGTTCAGCAGCTCATCAAATTATTTTCAGATATTCTGTAAAGGTCTTTAAGTGAAATTTTGTCCAATCTCCTAAACTATTTCACTGAAGAATTAGATGGCAGGGCTTGGGCAGGGTCTGTGTGTCTTGTTTTTTGGTGGGATGGCTTTTCAGATGACTAAAACAAGGTGATACAAATTACCTTCTTGTTTGTCTTACCTACCTCTTTCATTTAACTTTAAAAAGCTGGATGAACTTCAAAGGCTGTCCGACCAGGACACTAGAACATAAATTGTTTGGAACAATCCTTCAAAAATGATCCAAAAGATTCCTTCACTACTAATGGGTTTCCATGAAAATAAAATGTAAACTGCTAAGTAATGGTCACAATACTGTCTTTAACTACCGCTACCTCCTTCTGATATTTTGGGGCTATGCCTATGGCTGCTGCATACAAAAATACAATATGCAAAATGAAGATAAAAATAAGAATAGAAGATTTGGTTGATATGATGAAAGTGTTCCTTTTAGCTGAGTATTTAAACGTCTGTTTTTCAGAAATTATTTCTATCCCAGAGGAGAAAAGATGCAACTTGACATTTCAGAAAGGCAAGAGTATCAGCATTTTGGGCAGCAGCACAGTGGGCCCGGAAAGCCTTAGAAGCAAGGTCTTTTTAACAACTAACGTACCATGCCAAGCAAGCAAATAGGAAAGGCAAAGTATGGTAATATGGGCTACTCAGAAAAGAGTACAACTTAGGATCTAAAAGCCTTTTTGTTAAATGTATGTGGAACCAGTTACCCATGGACCTGAATTCTGAAAATCTCCTTTTCCCTGCTATTATCACCTTCTGGCAGGCACTTACCTTTGTCACATGGCTTACTGGTCTCTTCACTACTGTAGCCCTCAGCTTATACGGGGGAAGATGGTCACTCCATGCACACCAGTGAATCTGCAGTTAATTCTGGCGTTACCGACAGAATTACCTTGTATTTCCCCCAGGGGAAAAAAATTTGCACTTCTGGATAAATAGATGTTTTGTCTTTGACTCAGCCAGCTGTCACAGCACTCTCTCAGGTCCCTTGCTTTTTTTTTTTTTTTTCCTAAGAGCTGGATTTCACCTGCAAAATAAGAGCTGGCCCTGACCTGCAAAACTGGGATTCCAATGCATATATCCTCACTTGTTTAATACCCTCCAGACCACCAGCCTCATGTAGCACTGTCTTGGCCCCCTTTTTTCTGTGCTATTTTGAATTGCCCAGTTATAATGCAGGGTCATCCTACAAAGCACCTGCAGTTTATTATTTATTTCTTTGTATCATGATAAGGTTAAGATACAGATCTTCTATGGCAGGCAAACTAAGTTTTTGCCCTTTCTTGCTAGAATTTGCTTTTCCCTCTTTGTTCCTGTGCCTGGCAGAGTACGAAAAACATGAGACACAAAGATTTGCCTACAAATATCTCAGAGGGCATTACAGCAGCTCGGGTGGTAAACACAGCCTCTGTCTTTATACTGACAAAATAAAATAGGCCAACACTCAGAAGCTGCATAATCTGCAAAAGCTGCAGACTGTGGATAGCAGATGCTTGTGATTATCCTTGATAAAAGGGAATAGGACCAAAGAGGTCAGGCCAGAAGTAGATTGGGCCATAGGATCCAGGTATGCAAACATAACATCCAAGATGACAATACTAGGCTAATGCAAATGCATGACTGCCCAGTCAAAGGACTGGTGAGGAAGTTTGTAACACCAGCTTCATTTCTACCAACAGGAAAAAAATCTCAGAAACGTACAGTAACAGGCACAGAGAGACCTGGTAAAATATTGGAAGTACAGGAGAGAGCACCGGATCTCTGCATTCCCTTCTTCTGCTCTCTTTGAGTTCTTTTGTACACTTTGTGGGTCAGAGCCATTGTGTCCGAGCAGGACAGATTGCAGGATGAGAAGGAGCTGTGCCCTTTGCAGGGTCCATGAGTTCTGCTGAGGACAGGGTGAGAGCTTCTCCTGGCTGCATATTATGCCTTGTTTTCACAAGCACAGTCTGAAAAAACACGAGTGCTTTGACTGCTAAAGTGGTTTTCCTTTGAACCTGACCCAGATCTTTCTAAACCTTCTTGGCTACAGAGCTAAGTGGAATGTAGCAAAATTCCACCACTCACCCTGGCACACAGCACAGCTCCCACTACACAACTGCGTGAGAGCTCAGAGGGAGGGGCGGTGGGCTGTGTGCTGCACGCAGTCTGCAGGGGGACTGACAGGCATGGTGGGCATCTGTCTGGTCCCACTGCTGGCAGTGTGCCCCTGTATATTTACAGTGGCAGACTGTGAAATACATCTTCAAATAAATACTGCATTCTTTAATATTTAAACTTGCATTTATATGTTGCTCTGATGTGGTATTGTGCTGTGCACGGTGTCCTCATGAAAATCCAGTGATACACTTTGGGTCAATGTTTCATTACTTTGGTTGAAGACCAAAGGTTATCTTTTTATTCCAGTGTTTTGCCAGAAGATTTCAGAAACACAAGAAACAATAAAATAGGTGGGTTGGAAGCTGCCAGTGACCTTTCCCAGGGACCAACCTTCCCAGCAGTGTGTGGCAAGGATCCAGTACCGAAAGATGTGTTTCAAAGAGACAGCCAGCTGAAATCCTAGCCTGGTAGAAGTACATAGGAGTTCTGATCAGCAGATTTCCACCTAGTTTGTGTAATAACGAAGCTGAGGTGGAGCTGACATTTCGATTTCAAACATTGGATTTCAAACATAGTAGCCAAACAGTGAGCTAAGTCTAATAATAAAAGCAGGACCTTGAGGACAACAGAGTCAAGGTCTGT